TCAATTGTCACTTTGTGAGAGAGAAAGTGATAACCACATCTCATGTGAGCTCAGGAAATCAGTGGGCAGATCTCTTTACAAAGGGATTGTCTCGGGGCAGAGTAGATTATATTTGTGACAAGCTGGGACTATATGACATATACTCTCCAGCTTGAGGGGAGTGTTAGAGTACACAAAACAGGGGTATTTTGGTCATTTGGGTTTATCTAATTGAGAGTGAAAGGTCTGTTTTATTTAAGTTATGTGTTCCATAACTTATGAGGGACAATGTGGTCTTTCTTGTAACTATGTTATTGGAGATAAATAGAAGTGGGTCGACTAAAGAGATGACTGATTTTTTCTCTACTGGCCGAACCCTTCTTCTTCTTCTCCTCCTCCTCTTCTTCTTCTTCTCCTTCTTCTCTACTGTAACCTAGGACCAAATAAGGTTTTCACAAGTAATAAAAGATCAATTGCTCATTTTCATATTGTGCACTCTGATGTGTGGGGGCCATTATCATTTACCTACTATGGGGGGCTACAAGTATTTTATTCTTTTTATTGATGATTTTTCTCGCTATACATGGATTTACCTTATGAGCTATTGGGATGAAATACCAACTACTGTGCAAAATTTTCATGAATTTGTTCTTACCCAGTTTAACACTTGGATGAAAATATTCCAAACTAATAATGCCAAAGGAATATTTTGAGAAGAACCTTTCATGTTATTTTGATGCCTTTGGGGCTATTCGTCAGAGTTATTGTTCCTACACTATACAACATAATGGAGTGGTGGAAAGGAAGAACCACCATGTGGTTGAGGTTGCTAGAAGCCTGCTCTTTGCATCTTATGTTCCTATCAAGTTTTGGGGGGATGTTGTTCTTACCGCTACATACTTGATTAACCATATGCCTTCTCGGGTTTTGGGTTTCAAAACCCCCTTTAGCCTTCTTTTTCCAGATGAGGATCTCTTCTCTCTTACTCTCCAAGTTTTTGGGTGCACCTGCTATGTGCATGTTCACAGTAATCAAAGACAAATTTGAACCTAGAGCCCACAAGTGTGTCTTCCTAGGATATGGCTCCATACAGAAGGGACATTGCTGTTTTGATCCAGTATGTGGCACCTGCTTTGTTTCTAGGGATGTCACATTTGTTGAGTCTATTCATTTCTTTGGTACTTCTCTTTAGGGGGAGCATTCTGAGAAGACGTTTGTTATGTCCCCCACTGTTCCTCTTCCAATTCCTGTTGAGTCTTCTATTGAGTCATCTACTTCTATTGCACCTTCTCCCATTATGTCTACTTCACATTGGGAGAGTTGGGTATTGACTGTGAGAAGCCAATGATGCTATATTGTTATAACTAGGCATCTGTCAACATTGCACATAATCCCGTTCAGTATGATAGAACTAAGCACATAGAGGTTGATAGGCATTTTATATGGGAGAGAGTTGCTTCAGGGGATGTTTGCTTGCCGTTCATTGCTTTAGAAGAGCAGTTGGTTGATGTCTTGACCAAAGGTGCCCTAAAAGGAAAGTTGATACACTATATAAGCAAGCTAGGCATGATTAATATCTATGCTTAGCTTGAGGGAGAGTGTAGAGAGATTGGGCCGAATGGGCCCTAGTGCTTGTTTTCTGTTAAGTAGTGTTCTTTTTATTTCTTTTTTGTGCTAATGGAAATTTTCATTATGGGCCTATTATATACTACAGTCAAGATTATACATAATAAGCGAAGGATCTTAACATGGAAACGGGTGTTCTAGTGTGTGTAGTAAATTTGAATCATGCATGGGTGTGCTATTGCACACTGTCTTTCGAGCCAGATTTTCTGTAGCTCCTCTTGATTGTCATGCTTGCTTACCTTTTTCATTTTGGTAGCTTTAAACAATGCATAGGGACACAAGTGCACTCTACTTTTCAGCCAGACTTACTACAGATCCTCTTGATTGTCATGCTTGCCTTGCATGCTTAAATTTTCCATGTTGCAATTTTTGTTGAGAACCTTTGAAAAATACGAAATTTAGTGAGACACGGTTTCATTTAGTTAGATCTACTTTTGAGTTTTGACCTAGATGTTCTAGGGAGAACATGTGAACATAGTTTTCAAGGCGCCAAGGTGAGGCTAAGCGATAGGGGGCGCCTTGTTGCCTAGCTGCCTAGGTGTCGCCTACACAATGGATTTTTTTAAGTAAAAACCACATATCCTAGGGTAGTTCCCTAGGTTCCATAACCATCTTTCCTTGATAACTTATCCATAATTTTCATTAGAAAATTATAAACTTCATGTTTAAGTCTAGAAAATCAACATATTTATGAGAAGAAAAAGAAGAAAGAAAAGAAAATTCAAAAAATATAGGGGCCGAACCCCTATTTTTGTTTTAGGAAAAGAAGAAAAGAAAAGGTGGTTCAGATTTTAAGTTCTTCCCTTATTGGTTCAGATTTTGAAGTCTTTGAGGGTTCAATACAGCAGTTAGCAATGTTTGTGTTGATTAAACCCTAACAAATACGAAAATAATAAAAAGAAATTAGTTTATAAACACAAAAAAATGATTATTTTGTTTAATAATGTCTATTTTATAATTATAATCTCAAAAAATAACAATATAAAAGCATTTTATAAGACAGTATACAAAACTGCTTGATGACTGGGCGAGGCAAGCCTCCAAGGGTACCTTGTCGCCTAAGCATCACCTTGACAACTATGCATGTGGAATAGTAGACCAAGTCATGCATGTGCTGCCATCAATGCTATTCATAACTATCCTGATGGTTGACTTGTACAACTAGATTTCCTCTTCTTAGTAGTAAAAATGGAGTAGCTAATAGTGCATTTATTTTTCCAAGTTATGCATCTCTTGCAAATGATCCTACATATACATGTTTCAAGGCTTGATTTTTGTAATACTCTTTTCATTACATCCAGTGCAGGATTGGGCTGACATGCTTCTTAGAATGTACGTAAGGTGGGGAGAGAAACAGCGTTACAAAACAAAGGTTGTTGAGAAATCTCTGGGAGAGGAAGCAGGAATAAAATCGGCCACAATTGAAATAGAGGGTCGTTATGCTTATGGGTACTTGTCAGGGGAAAAAGGAACACACCGCATTGTTAGACAGTCTCCTTTCAATGCCAAAGGCCTTCGTCAGGTAATTTTATTTTGTGGTCCTTTTATTAGCCTTTTATTATTTTTAAAAAGCAGAAACTAGGAATTAATAGGACACTCTGACAGGCATAAATTGACAAAACTATGGAGTACATGCTAATATTGACTATTTTATCTATGATATTTCAGACAAGCTTTTCTGGCATTGAGGTCATGCCTCTTCTTCCTGAAGAGTCCACAGATGTTGAGATACCTGATGAAGATCTGGAAGTAAGCTTCTCAAGGGCAGGTGGAAAAGGAGGCCAGAATGTCAACAAGGTTGAAACTGCAGTTCGAATTGTTCACATCCCCACTGGTGTCACAGTTCGCTGCACAGGTTTGCTCACAATAAAAGACTATTGTTTTAAAATTCCTCTCTGAATGCTAGGTTTATCACAACCAACTGTACTCAATTTAAAATCACAAGTTCATGACTTTGTCCTAGTTATCACCTTGTCAGAAACATTCATAATAATATTTTATACCATCTTGCCTTCTGAGAATAATGGTAAAATCTCAGGATGACAAGAATGTGAATGTCTGTTCAAGTCCAAGAGTGGCCACTTTATGTAAAAAAATGCCAAAGGTTATGTCCGTATCCAGTCTTACCCCCCTTAAAGACCCCACATGGCTGGGACCAGCATTTGGTTATGGCCTTTATCATCTTTTGTAAGCAGTAGTATACCATTGTAGCATTCTTGCATTTGCCCTTCTTTTTAAGAGGAAGAGTAATCGTTGCTTGGTGAAATAATAAAGCCTTGGGCTGATAAACATGAGAACACAGGTTTGGGTCTGAAATTAGGTATATGTCCACTCCACCCTGGATGGCCAAGAATAGCATATTGGGTAGTGAGTAGTGGTGTGATTCCGGTACATGATTTGAAGAACTTCCACTACGAAGGGCTCAACCTAGGTCTTCCCAAGTTGCAATCCAGTAATAACCTAAACTATTTTGAAGGAAAAACTTTTCAGAGCTTCTATTCTCCCAATTGCTTATAGGTTGGTTGGTTGCTTTTTTCTAAATGTGGTTGATTTTTATTCTTTTTCTTTGCTTGTATGGTTTCATGGTTAATAAAAGGATATTTCTTTAGAAATTGGTGGTTGACAATATTTTTTACTTTCAAGTCTAGGAGAGTCAAGTTCACTTGAACAAGATTTATTTAAATTACTGATTGAGTGTGTTGAGATCAAAAAAAAAAAAAAAAGAAAAACCATTTTTGTGAGACGTGTTTTTCTGGGTTTGCTGATACTCATATTTTCAGGCACCTATCTGAGCTCTCTTGGTTTTAAATGTCCTCTTGAATTACTGAGTCCTGATCGTCCTTTTATTTCATATTGCATCTAAACTCAGGTTTGGGTGTGTTTGCTATGCTGAGATTCCATCCTCTCAGTCCAAGCTTGATCCCTGTGCCCTTGAGTGCATTTTTTCTTGGATACTCTACCACCCAAAAGGAGTATAAATGCTATCACTGTGCTTCTTGGAAAAAAGATTATTCTATGGATGTTCCATTCTTTGAATCCTTGCCTTTCTTTGCTTCTTGGGGTGCCTTTGTTTAGGGGGAGAAGTATAAACTATCTCGTGAAGAGAGGCTAAACACTCCTCGTACTCTTTTTCAGCCTTCAATCTTTGACTCTGAAGTGTCTGCTAGCTCAAAGGACAAAAGTAAGACTATTGACAAGGAATTAAGGGTGTTTCGAGAAAAAGGAAGGGCCACTCAAAGGAGCAACCACTTCATGATTCCTAATCCTGTTACTTTTGGTGTTCCTACTCCTGACCTTGATTTGCCTATTGCCTTCATGAAAGAAGACACACTTGTACTGTATATCCTATTTTTTATTATGTATCTTCTAGCTTCTCTATTGCTTTACCTTCTAGTGTCTTAGATGCGAGCCCAAACCTGAATGGAGAGATGCCATGAATAAAGAAATGAAAGCATTGAGGAAAATGACACTTGGGAATTGGCTGACTTGTAAATGGGTTTACACTGTAAAACATAAGCCTGATGGCTCTGCAGATAGGTATAAAGTTAGTATGGTATCCAAAGGCTTTACTTAGACATATGGGATTTATTACCAGGAAACATTTTCTCCTGTTGCCAAGATTAACTCAATTCAGGTTCTCTCCATTGCAGCAAATAAATCTTGGCCTCTTTTTTTCATGGAGATTTACTAGAGGAGGTTTACATGAAGATCCTTCCTGGATTTTACTTTCTTGATGCTAAAAGAAGAGTGTACAAAACTAAAGAAGGCCTTGTGTGGGCTAAATCATGGTTTAAAAGATTCAATTGTTCAATTCTTGGGGTTAAGGTATTGAGATCCAAGAAGGGGATGGTTCATGCATGGTTCAAAGTACTGATATTGCCTCTGCCGATACACAGGAGCGTATCGATACTTTGAACCATGGGTATATCCTATTGTTTGAGCTAGTTCATGCATGGTCCTAGGACTACAACATGGAAGTAGTTGAGCTGTGCATTGGGAATATCTCCCCATGAATAAAAACATACGAGTTCGGAGATATTCCCAATTCATGGTTGCAAGTGGCTGTGAGGATAGTGTGAGCTTGGTTTTGTGAAGACTGAATTCGAGTTCACCTAAAGGGGATTCCTGGGAAAGGTATTCTAGTTTCTTGACATGACCATCTTAGGGTAGAGATAATGTATACTGGTGTTGATCAGAAAGCTGATCTACTTGCACAATTCGATCTACTTACACAATTCCTGACTAGATATTGCCTATGTTGTAAGTGTTGTGAGCTAGTTCATGCATGCTTCTAGTAGTACAACTGTACAACATGGAAGTAGTTCATCAGATTCTTCGATACCTAAAGGGGATTCCTGGAAAGGTATTCTATTTTCTAGACATGACAATCTTAGGATAGAGATATATACTGGTGTTGATTGGAAAGGATATGTCATTAATAGAAGATCCACCTTAGGATACTATATTTTTATTGGTGACAACTTGGTCACTTGGTGTAGAAAGAAGCAAATGTGGTTGCAAGCTCAAGTGCCAAGGTAGAATTCAGAGTATTGCTCATGGAGTGTGTGAAGCTTTATGGCTAAAAAGCATACTTAATGAGTTTAATCTTTCGGCATCCACACCAATAAGTTTATACTGTGATACAAGGCAGCAAGAAGTATTGCTCACAACCCAGTTCAGCACAATTGCAAGGTTCAAAGTATTGGTACACCCTGAAATGGTGCAAGGGGTGTATTGGTTTTTTTTTTTTTTTTTTTCAAAACTATGTCAGGGGGTAGGTCTTAGGCCTGTCTACCCCCTGAAAAAGGCCAAAACCCCAAAACACCCCTATTTTATGTATCGGTGACCCACCAATATGATACGTATTTAGCTGATATGGGCTGATACATGATGAAATTTTGAACCTGGATTGCACCAAACACATCAAGGTGAACTGTTATTTTGTACAAAAGAAGCTTCTGAGTGGCCAAATTTGAACCTCTATATTATCACCTAATTGCAACTTGTAGATATTCTCACTAAGGGTGTTATAGGGGCATATCTCATGAAAATTGTAAGTAAGTTGAGCATGGTAGATATCTTTGCACCAACTTGAGGGGGAAGTATTGAGTTATGGATGTTAATGTTCTTGAGGGTATTTTAGTCATTTTCTATGTATGGGTCACATTAAGGATTATCTTTCTCTATCAGGGATAATGATGTAATTGTTTACTTATTTTCATAATTAATAAAAGTTATAGAGGAGGTGTGGGGCAGCAGCAAACCTCTCTTCTCTTATGTCTCTAACGTCTTCTCTCCTTCCTCGGTGCAATCTTAAAAAGTAAAACTCTCTTCACTGTCACTAGTCCAGAACTAACTTTATGTATATAATCAATGTTTAGGGGCAGCAGCAAGAACTTTTTGTCCCCCTCTTTGATTTCTCTTAATTCTTATTCCTACAACTTCTAGATTCTATTCTTTCTGATGTTTCTTGATTCTATTGGAGTTTTACATATACAAGTAATGCAAATTTATATTTAGTACATGATTTCTAAAGTCTCCTTGAATTGTATATTCTGCTATTGCTTTTACACTGGTGTCTGTGACATAGCAGAAGTTGTTTCCTTGAAGTTTTCTGTTCCATGTGAACTTCCTATGGATTAATCTTGATTATTTAACCAAGGGGCAATTTGTTGGGTCGAAATAGCTGCATTATCTAAACAATGTCCAAAGATTTGATGGTTTCATAAGAAACAAATACATTAGGACAGATTAATTGGTTTTGTAACTTTGTATGTATTTGGAGCTTTCGCCCATCCAGGATTTGTTCCATGGAATGGATCAAATCAGATTGGTCATATATGTTGTAGAACATGGAAACAACAGGAACTCTTGTATTTGGTAAAACACTGGCTTTCACAGGAAATGAATACTCCAATGAACTAATTTGTATGAATTTATAGCTTTCCTCCATCCTGGATTTGCTCAACAGAATGGATAGGACCAAAGCAGGTTGGCCTTGTACATGGCACAATATTGAAACAAGATCTCTTTCATACCAAAACCACTTATGCTTGGCTTTCATGTTGATGCATTCCCTTTTCCCTTATTTTACGAATGCAGAAGAAAGATCTCAACTAGCAAACAAGATCAAGGCTCTCAGCCGGTTGAAAGCCAAACTTCTGGTCATTGCTGAAGAGCAAAGAGCATCCGAAATAAAACAGATAAGGGGAGATGCAGTGAAGGCTGAGTGGGGCCAGCAGATTCGCAATTATGTGTTCCACCCATACAAGCTTGTCAAAGATGTTAGGACAGGGTTTGAGACATCAGATATTGCTTCTGTTATGGATGGTGAATTGGAACCATTTATTAAAGCATACCTCAAGTACAAATACAGTAGAACCATGACAGGAGGTGTACAATAAGACTGGAAAGTTCATTAATACAAAAACTTGTTTTTTATTTTTATTTTTTTGAGTTGTATAATATATGCATTACATTGAGGAAATCTCTAATGTATATTCACTCAGTGGTTCCAGCTTTATTGTCTGCATAAGAAGGGTTCTTAGAATGCCTCACTTTTTGGTTATTAATTTAGGACCTCGTTATGTTGGCCCAGACGTTTGGATAATTCAGAAAATAGAGCTCATTCTGATTCAAAGATTACTAACTAAATGCGAACACACTTAGAACCAACAAAACCTATTTTGGTTACTTGTAAGGTTTCACTCCTTGTAATACGTGGATCTTGTGGTTAGAAACTGAACACTATTGGAATCTAGCCCTTTTGAAGTTCTGAATGCAGTTTTGATCTCCCACATTCTTGGGTTGTGAAATTTATACAACATATAAAAGTATGGATGTAGAGTGAAAGATTTTTGGGCTAAAATTGTCCTCTATTTCTTTGTTTGAGAAAAAGAATAAAAGTCATTTTATTACAGCACTAATGCCAGTTTTAATGGCTATTAAAATGCTCATAATTGTGTATTTAGTCCTCTCTAGTTGTAAGGGTTGAAAATGTAATTTAATTATTACTTTCCACCTTATTTAATTCCCTTTTATTAAGTTTTATACTTAAGGTATTAACTTCTATTTTATTAAATCTTATATTTAAATTATGTAAAGTGAAAGTATTTTTTACTAAAATTACCCTTATTTTTTTGTTTGAGAAAGGGTATAAAGATCATTTTATTACAACTTTAATGACTACTAAAATGCTCATAATTGTATATTTAGTCTATATCTAATTGTAAGGGTTGAAAATGTAATTTCAATTATTACTTTTCACCTCATTTATTCCCTTCTCATTAAGTCTTATACTTAAGGTATTAACTCCCATTTTCTCTTATTAAATCATATATTTAAGTTATTTTTCACTAATAAATGCTTCTAATTAGATTTATGTCAATATTTTTAACAAAATTAACTCATATATTTTAAAACTAACTAAAAGAAAGTTATTCTTTATCCAAGTGGTGGCTAAACAATTCAACCATTTGAATCAAATTGATTGACCTATGAAGTCATAGTTAGGAAAAGAAATTTTTAAAATAGAAATAAATATAGAACATTATAAAAATGTAGAAAAAATTAGACACATTTATGCTTTTTTTATTAATCAAATTAAAAAATAAGTGTAATAAACAAGAATTGTTTTTATTGATAAGAAAAATGAAATACATAATTTAGAACTAACCAATAATGAAATTACTTTACTGTTTGGCAAAGATCAATAGCTCAACTTTTGTGTCAAATGTGTTAACCTTTAATGTCATAAATAAATAATAAAAATTAATAAAATATAAAAATAAAAAAAAAACATTTAGGCACATATATAATATCGTATGCTTATCATATTAAATAAAAAGTAAGTTTGACATATCAAAATTATTTTTACATACAAAAAAAAATTATAAAAAAATTGAACGCACCTATAATTCTATATTTACACTAATATCAAAAAATAGGGGTGTTCACGGGTCGGGTTGGGTCGGTTTATTGGGGTTTTCCCAACCGACCCGACCTGGTCGGGTTACCTGAGGTGGAAACTGAAACCGACCCACTGATAGGCCAAACCGACTTGGTCAGTTTGAGTCGGGTTGGGTCGGTTTCAGTCGGTTTCGGTTTTGCTCCTGTACAAAGGACACCTAATTGAATTCTAATTGTAATTGCCTAATGGGTTGCCTATTTGGTGTAAAAGATTATAGAAAGTTAGAAACTATGATAGATTGCCTATTCTAATTGTAATTGCCTAATGGGCCTTCTAGTTCTAGTAGAAGACTAGTTATAGTTAAGTAGGAAACTACTCAAACTAGGAACTACTGAACTAGTAAAAGACTAGTTCGGTTCGGGTCGGGTTGGTTTCAGTTTTCACACAAGAAAACCGAAACCGACCCAATATATCGGTTTATATATTTTCCCAACCCGAAACCGACCGGTACTGATGAAAACCCGACCGACTCGGGTTGGGTCGGTCCAGGTTGGTCAGTTTGGTCGGGTTGGGCATTCTTATGAACAACCCTATCAAAAAATATGAATAAGATTGTAGATCTTTCTTTAAACTAAAACACTCATTTTTGAATTTAGTTCATATTTAATTGTAAGGTCTAAATTGTAAATTGAACTACTAATTTTCACCTCATTCAATTATCTTCATTTAAATCTTACAAATTTTTTACAAAAAAAAAGATACACAAAAAAGATAAAACACTAGAAAAAGAAGAGTCAGGTAAGCCTACCAATGATACTTGAAACTTTACAACTCAATTTGATTACCACATATTTGGATGAAGTGTTTATGTAATCTGATTTGGATTTTGCAATCTACATCTGATTAATAATAAAAAAACAAAAAACAACAAATACATAAAGTTCAAAAAAATTTTGGATACATCATTATTATCTTGATCATCATCTAGACTTTCCATGTGCAAAGCACAGGTATACTTACTAGTGAAAGTAAAAGAAGGAAAAAACAAACACTGATAAATGGAGAGAACATTGTAGTCTCTCTCCCATTTGATATAGAAACATTTTGTGGTCAGAGGAAAGCCTTGGAGGCAAGAGATGTGACATGTACTTGCTGCATTTGGCATTCCTTATTCTAAGGACTAATCTTCTTTTTTGGTTAAAGTGCCCCTATGAACATTGAGTTTTTAATGGTAAAAAGGAGATAAGTCCTTCCAATAAATAATGCCAAATGTAGCCTAAATCAACTTTAATTAAGAAATTCTTACAATTCCAAGAGAACATTTTTAAGTCTCTTTGTTTATGTAGGTACTAACAAAGAATGGTTTGCTTGTTGCAAGCAAGGATTAAAGTTGGAAACACAAGAGATATCTTAGAGAGGTGATTTTAGCACATTATTGGGAAAAGCATGAAAATGAATATGTTAGGAGCAAGGATTAAAGTATCAGTATTAGGTATCGTATCGGACAATTAGAATATAGATATAGATACGTTTTGGAAATGCAAGGATACAGACGAAAAATATAGAAATGCTTGGGTACACTAAGGAAATGCATACAAATTTCATAAATAAATTAATAATATTGAATTTAAGGTCAAATAATAAAAATAATGTATAAATACATAGAAAATCTATATTTTAATCATGTATAATAATATATTACAATTAATATAATAGGATGCATAGATATCATACACTTTTATTAATAATGTATCAATCAAGAGTCCAAATACAAAACATATGCTTTATTATATTTTAATTATTGTTTCAATTTTAGTACTTTTACTTTTTGACATTAACAAGGAAGTCAACCAAATATTAAATATCCATATGTAAATTAAAATATCAATTAGTAATTTTTAAAAATATATAATCTGAACTTAAAATATATCAAGTCTATCAAAATTTCTAAGATACATATCATATGCAAATTTATAATTTTTAATTAATAAAATGATTATTCCATTATTAATATTTTTATTCCTACTATTTTTCTAAAATCAAAAATATCTTTTGTAATAAATGTATATTAGTAAATTTGGTAGATTCAATTTAATATTATATTCTTCAACATTTTACAAACAATCTTTTATTTTTGTAAATTATAAACATGTTGTTATTTAATGTAAATTAAAATATTAATTAATATAATAATAATTAGTTTTTTACTTATTCAAATCCCACTCATTAACTCTCATATTTAAGGTATTAACTCCCATTGACATTCATTAAACCCTGTCATTGACTAGAATACCCCTATTTTTGAATTTGCTCCATTTCCAATTGTGAGGATACAAAATGTAATTTGAATTACTGCATTTTTCTTCATTCAATTTTCTTTCATTAAGTCTTATATTTAGGGTGTTAATTCTCTTTCTTCCATAGTATACTAAAGAAAAATAAATATGACAGAAAAATCATTTTTATTGACAATAGAAATAAAATATAAATTTAAAACAAACTAAGAAATGAAGTTGTTTTATTGTTTAGTGGTGAGTCAACAATTCAACCTATTGCGGCAAATGTGTCATCCAATTTGATGTCATAACTAAATGATAATAAAAATTAAAAATATGAAAATACACAAATGTATAAAAAATACAAAAAAATATAGAAAACATTTGGAAAAATCTCTAATATCATATATTTCATCATATTAAACAAGACAAATAAGAATAATTTTAAAGACATATAAATACAAAAAAGTTGTAAAAAATGGAAATACATTATTTATTATCATCATCATAAAAAATTACCACGTGCACAGTTAGTAGTAAATAATATATATATATATATATATATATATGCAAATTTAAAAATTTTATGCACTAAAATAATTATTCTATTATTAATACTATATTTATATAAATTTCTTGAGATTCAAATAATCTTTTGATATAAATGTGGATTTGATATATTATTTACTAATTTTCAATATTATTTTTTTTATTTTTAGTTGGAATTTTAAACATAAATATGTATTATTTATTTGGATTGCATTCAGACGTTAGTAAATAAAAGTTATTTTATTTTACTTATAAACCAAAGAAGTTTAATAGCCTAGTGGTTTAAGAGCTAGGGCGTTAAGCGCTAATATGCTTATTGACTTGGATTTGAATCACCCCACCCGTTAAACCCCTTTGCCAAATGTTTTCCACTAAAAAAAAGTTTCTTAATGCTTATAGTATGACATGAACCCAGATCAATTAATGATAGCACCAAATCTCTTAGCACTACTTTAAGCCAATAAATCATCTTGTCTTTTGTCTTATTTGATAAAATAATATAGATTTTATTAATTTTTGTGTTCATCAAAACAATCAATACATATTTCAACTAAAAATTAAAAGAAATAATATTTAAAATTAACATTTTATAACTAAATGAAATAAACAATCTATCAAATCCAAATTTACATCAAATGGTGATTTTAATCCTAAAAAATTTATACAAATAAAATATTAATAATAGAATAATTATCTTAGTATTTAAAATTTATAAATTTGCGTGTGATATATAATATAATAGGTTCACATTTATGCATCCCGGATATCAAGTAGCAGATACCCTAAAGTCAAAACCCAAACCCTATAGGGTTTTGATAAA